GGGAGCATAGCCCTCAATCAGAATCGAATCCTCTGGGCAGCGTGGAGAAAACTGCACTTCACAGCGGGCTTTGGAGCAGTCTGGTTTTTCTTCTGAAAACAAGACAGCAAGTGCATGTAAGACGTTATCCGAATACCTGAAGCTTCACAGTGGGTTGGATAAACTAGTGATGAAAAGCCATGCACATATTTCAAAAAGTTTTTTTTTTTTAGTATCATCCCACACTCTCACCCACCCTACATTACAGTGGTGGTTCTTATGGAACAGGAAAGTTCATAAAGGAGATGGTTTTACAAGGGATATTTCTGATAAACTCATAATTCCCATGAAACTCAGGTGTGCTCATTTTCCTTAAAGATGCATGCTTGCTTGAGCTTTTTCTTACAATAGATATACTGAAACAATATTCCAGGTGACAAGATAATCACTTGTTGTCCTTACAGAGATCACGACAATGATCACATGGAACACTAAAAATATTCCGTTGCCTTAGGTCTTTACTAGACACAAATAAAGTAAGTTCTAAAGGGGCAGAACTTACCAAACCTTACTAGCCAAATCTGCATGTATTCGGACTATTTGACTATTTCTTAGTGAAGACCGCATTATTCCTTAAGTTCTTTTTGAAGAAAAAATAATTTCCCAGATGGGATTATAGGTGAGAGATATTTGAATTGTAACCATTTACCATTTACTACATGTGGGGCTCCTAGCAAAGGCTGTTGGCATTGGACTTATTGTGCATTGAGCCAGGTTTCTCAGAAACGCTGGTGTCTACCAAATGGAAGAGTTTAAATTATTTCTTCAGTTAATATTTTAAGAATTGCTACTTTTTCTTTTAGCAGAAGTTCCTAAAGCAGCTACTATTTCAAACATCAAATCAATGTATTAAAATAATGATATACCAACAGGATCAGCAATAAAAACTGAAGCAGGATAAATAACCTATTAAAATCAAGTAGATAATCCACCTCTTCATAAACAGATACAATAACTATTTGTCATATTCCACAAGATTACATAATCCTTTTAAATTTAATATGGGTTTGAGCACTGGCAGCAAAGTTAAACAAATCATGGTGCTTAATATAACATTTGAACATAAAAGTTATTAAAATTCTAATTCTATCTTTCAGAAAGTTTATTAATTCTCCTTTCTGTATGTTAGCCACTCTCCATCTTACAACAAAATGCTTAAAGCCTATCAGATTCTTCCCCAAGCCATTTTCACATTCCATAGGATTTGGGAAGGAAAAGGTTCATAGCAAGGACAAATAGCTAGTGAGATAATCCAGTACAGTATAATAGCTGAAGAGTCTCTCTACCTTGATTCAGATCTTGTTCTATCATTTCTCCCACTGATACAAGATTGCTTACAGCATTTAAAAAAAAAATTATGATCTGTCCTCTCAGGGCATCCTGTGACAAAGAAGAATCAATAGTGAACTGGCAGCCTATCACATCTGGCTGCAAGAATCCAGAAGACCACTCTGCTGCCTCTAATGGCCATCTGGATTTTTCCAGGTCAAATATAGCAGTTCCATGGTAATAGGAATAGTTAATGATTGCAACTTTTCCTTCCCCATACGAAGCATGCAGTGCTTTAAAACTTACTTAAAAGCAAAAGCTTTTGCTCATGCATAGCAATTGTTGCTAATAAAACACATACTTTGTAGAAGGGTAGGCACATAATGCTCATATAATTAGTGGCACCACATGTTATCACAAAGCTTGCAACACACTCCTTCATAACTCTCAGAACCTTCAAATACCTTGTATTATGTTGGTTTACTGTTTTTACCTTTGTCAATCCACATGATAGATTCAGCTTTTCTCTTTTTTTAAAGCCATTCCCCTCAACTTTTTACTACCAATGTCCACAATTGTCATCCTTGCTATAGGAAAAGTTACAAGAGCAGTGCTGGACCTTCTGTGGAACTGGGGAGGGGGTGAATCCTACTAATTTTAAATTTCAAAAGAGTATAATTATAACAATATTTAGTCTTTTTTAGTGACTCAATGCATTAATAAAACCACTACCGTATAAACAGTATTAATATGTATCAGTGCCTCGTAGAATTAGGAATAATTAGTCTGCCTCAGTTGTGCAGTGCTGAACCATTAAACTTATTTGAGATGCAGTTAAGGTAAAGGGAGAGGCGAAGTCCTGAGCATTAAGCCAAACTTTCTGGCCACAAAGCCAAACTTCAGTTACTGTTTGCAAAATAACTTTCTGTCCTACCCTTCCTTCTACTGCCACCATCTGCAGATCACGGGTATCTGAGCAAACATTTAGTAAACATTAGATGAAACATGATCTTGAAAAATCCTGTGATTTTTTTAATGGGACATGATGGTTGGAATTTTAGTGAAGTGTTCATGTACTCTGAACGTGATTATTTCCAATTAATTTTGCATGATAACCTCAAAGCATTTAGTTAATACAGCAACAATTTCACAATTGAGTTAAGAATTCAGTTCAGTTCTTAACTGAAAATGCTATAAGGATCTGTTTACTTGTTATTGTTTAATGACTGAACTGTTGTTCCTTTATTCTCTCCATTTGACTCCTAATAACAATAGTTACACTGTGGAGTCCTTTCAACATCTATGCAGTGAAGATTGTAGCAAAAAATTAACTCTGGGAGTTTGCTTACCATCCTTGGTAGTCTGATTACAATTTTGTTATCTTTTTTCACCCTGCAGTAGTGTTAAGAGCTGCTTTAGAAGCTGAATGCACTATGGTGAAGTATAAAGAATATAAAAATCAGCTGATACATATAGTCCTGATTATATTATTACTTAATTTTTTCAAGGTATTCACAGGTTTGCAGCTGATATATCTATTTTTTTTTTCTTCATTTGTCAGAGGCTTTCAAATCTTACTCATTTTAGGACTTACTTATTATGTTTTGGAGGTTTCCATGCTGTCAGGCTACCTGAACCATGACTCGGCTGTAAATCTGCAACCTCCAACTTTACAAGGTTTAACTAGGTTTGAACTTGGCACGAATCTCTCAGATACTTGACATAACGTGGCTAGATAAAAATCTTTACTGCAAAGATTCAGATGACTACTGAAGTCATGAAATGGTTGACTGCCCTATGTCCGCATGGTGGGGCAACCACTGCATCTTCTTCCTATCGATCCCACATTTCAAAGGAGTCTTTGGCCTGCACTTCATAATTTTGAAGCCGTGTAACATCTGTCTTGAGAATCTTTCTCTCTCCACTTATCTCTCACATATACTATCTCTCCTGTCTGTAATTTGGAGATTATTATAGTTATTTTAAATTGCTTCTAATCTTGCAGAAAGAAACCATCACCCCTTCTCCAGCAGAAGTTTAGCTTTCTTTAAACCATCTTTATTGTGCCGTCAGTGATTTTTTGCAGTCACTGATAAGGGGGTTCTAAGGTGTACCTCAAGGAGCAACAAATAGCCCATGGTTTGCCCAACCCCTGTGTTATATAGTATGTGTTGCCTTCACTGAAACAATAAAATAGTAAAAACAAAGAAAAACCCAATATCAACCATGAAAAATGTTTTCTTTTTAAAAAACAAAAAGGACAAAAAGGATCTGAAACAATGGTCAGAAATGCTTTATCCAATGCTAGGCTTTCAAAAACAGTATCAAGGAACAAGAAAAGATGCAGAAAAAATAAAAATGAAATGAAAATCAGGCGTTTTAATGCTAATTCTTATCTGAAGCACACCAAATGTAAAAACTAGCTTACATACACAAAGAATTGCTTACCCAACTCGTCTCAAACAAGCAATGAATAATAAAAATTACAAACTCAAGCAACTTATCACAGTTCTTTTCTGTCAATGAATATTACTGGGAAATAATTTTAATGAACAATGGGCATAACTCCATCAGAATGATTGGAAGATCATATGTAAATGTGGCAGGTATTTTAGAAAAGGCATAATAGTTACTGAACAGTTACTAGTTCAAGTTATGTTTACAGTAAAAATATAATTAGCTTACTCTCGCTCTGAAAGGTAAGCCTTTGACCAAACTTGGCATGCTAGTTAATATACAACATGCTAGAACTGACACTATGATACATGTTCAACGATTTCACATTACCTTTTATTACCTGGAACAATTTTATCAGTAAGGTACAAATTGCGTCTGTTAAAGCAAAACAGCATTCATAGCATTCTTTTATTTTATAACCTACCTTACTTAAGCTGTAGTCCTATATTAGACATATCTTAAATATGCATAGTAACGGGCAATATTTATTAGGACTGTGCTAATCCTTTGCAAGAAGTGCTTTGGAATGGAATGCATTTTTCAGAGCAAAGCGGCTGAGCATATGCATGCATACAGTGAGAGTCGGGAGCAACTTTCAAAACTGCACCAGCCAGGGGAGGGGGGGGGAACATGGCTGCTTTAATAATCTGAAAAGAGGTGTTTCCTATGTATTCCTGCATGTTCTGAAGCACTTCTTTTGAAGAATTTGCATAGCTTTAATAGTTACTAAGTTGTGCACCATATTGTGATGAAAACATGGTTCTATATTTTCTATAATTTTATATCCTTTTATATTGTTAAAATCAAATACCAAACACCTTTCTTCCACTTGGAGGTCAGCTATAGCTGTCACTGAAATTGATGCCAAACAATAGAACTACTGTACAGTAACACATGGGCAGGAAGGAAATATTAAAAGGATTAGGGATAAACAAGAAAAATGATTATCCAGCTGAAGCAGCCAGGCAGACAGGCAACCCTACAGGAATGCAAAATACTCAAAAGGATTTTTAGGATATCAAAAGAATAGTTAATTAGATTCTAAAGAGAGATTATATTAGACACACATTGTATATCATCCCTCACAAATGAACTGGTGGAAGTAGAAAGAAACTACACTGAGCTTTTACATAATTGTCAAATCATATCTGAACTCTTCTTTGTGTTCAAGAGAGATTTGTTTAGGACTTTTAGAAAGAGGATAAAAAGATTTTAGACAACAATGGATTTGTCAAACTGGAACATTAATATGAACCAAGTAAGCATGAACATCCACATTCAGTAATATATTAAGATGACACCAGGAGTACACACCATGCAGTTCTGA